TTTGGCTAATTACCGATGAGTAGCTGTCACCATCTGTCACCAGGAAGGATCATGGCAGGGCAAAGCAGAAAGGGCACCTCGAGGGAGGGGAGCAGACTTTGCTGCCAGGGCCTCTGCTACGGCTGAGAAAAGAGGAAAGGAACCAAAAGCAGGAACAAACTTTTAAGATTCCTTCTGGATTCTCCATCCAAGGCTCACACGGTCCAGCCTTCCTTGGATTCCCCTTCCCAAAAGGATTCGGGCAGGGTCAAGAAAGTGGCCAGGCCCAGAGAAAGCCAGGGAGGGGCCCACCAGGCCTGGGCTAAGGGACTCCCCCTCAGTCCCCCCAAAGGCTGCACCGCTCTACTTCACCCCCTGAGCATTTGCATCAGCTGTGGCTTCTCATCCACCAGCACGGACTTTTGGGCCACCACACTGACTTTAGAATGAGTGGGGTGCGTCTCTGACCCAGACTGTCACCTCCCCCCCCAGAACAGGAGGGATAATTTGGCAGGTGACCCAGAGGCCTCCTTGGTTTATTTCTGCCCCGGGCCTGGTCCTCTCCGTGGGGTGTGTGTGTGTGTGTGTGTGTGTGTGCTAAACAGCAAAGATGGCCATCCTAGAAAAGCTGCTTGACATAAATTTTTCAAGTGTGTTATACAAGTAAGCTTAACTAATATGCAACCGTTTCCCCAGAATTGCTTGCATGCTATCCTCTAAATCTCTATCCCGTGTCTTCAGTTGCAGTGATAACTTTGGAGAAGATCTAATGGTCAGTTAAAGTTTTGACTTGTTGGGTTTTCCAAACCTTGAAACCTTCCCCTTTTAACCAACTCTGGATACCTAAACTCTCCCCTTGGATCCTTCTGGAATATTTATAAACTGCTCCTTTAGTTGATTGGACTGTTTAAAATGCAGTCTCTCCTGTTACTGTTAGAATGCATGGATGTGATCACACTTTTTGTCTGGTTTCTGGAAAGCTGCCTCCTCCGTGATCCTCTTCTGGCCAGGCTGAGGAGCACAGTGGAGCAGCCCTGAGCCTCCACTGGCTGAGAGGGCTGGTCAAGGTGTGTGTGTGTGTGTGTGTGTGTGTGTGTGTGTGGAGGGGGAACGTTGGGCTTTGGGTCTCCTGCTTCAGGAGTGGCGGGGGCTCTTCCCTCCTTCTCAAGGGATCAAGGCCATTGCTCCACCACTGCCACCTGGCAGGATTGACAGTGGCCGGCTTTGCTGACCGCTTGATTTGGACCGTTTTCTGCTTCAGAGACTCCAAATGGGAAACGTAGAATAACAGAGTTGGAAGGGACCTTGGAGGTCCTCTAGTCCAACCCCCTGCTTGATCAGGAGACCTTATACCATTTCAGATAAACGGTTGTCCAGTCTCTTTTTGAAAGCCTCCAGTGATGGAGCAATGAGCACTAAATCTTTTGAGGCAGAAAAGCCACCCCGGCTTCATAAATGCCTCTTGTTGAAAGGTGAACGGGATATGCACATTTCAAAGACTTGAATGGAAGAAGGAATTGGGAGATCCCCATTTTGCCTAAATGAGAAACCTCCTTGACACCCATGCCCAAAATTTCAGTACACCTTAGATTACAACCTGCATATCCAGCATAAAATAAAGGACCTCTTGGGCCCCACTGTGCTGAACAGAAGAGGAATATGTGAGTCCCTGAGCTGTTGGAGATCCAATTAGAATACTACTGAGAATAATTCTGGGACCCAGGGAGTCCGTGGAGATCCTGTTTTGCTGCTTACGGAAGACCTTATAGATCGGTGATTCTCAGCCTGTGATCCGCAGACATCTGGGGGGCTGCGATGTCGTTACAGGGGGTCCATGAGGGCTTGAATAAATGTCATTTAAATCTCAAGTCTTGGGGGTCCGTGGCCACAAAAGGCATTTAAAGGTGGTGAAGAAAAGGTTGAGAAGCACTGGCATGGATGGATGGCTATCGTGAGATACAGTCCCTTTTTTAGGGAAACGGTTGGATAGCATTTGAAGTATGCCTAGGCCTGTTTGAGGGATAGGCATACCTGCAATTGTCATTGAGGCTGCACCACTTTCTCCTCTCCTCCCCTTGTCCCTTTTGCCCGGGCTTTTCTTTTGGCCACACTTGCAACTGCTACAGCATTGCTTATCCATTCCCTGGGCAGAGCCAGTCTGGGGGTGCTGTGGGCCCCGCAAGAGGCAGAAATCTTCCATACTGGGGTCTGTGGGGAGTGGTGCGTGAGGACTATCCCTTCGGTTCAGGGCAAAAGTGGTGGGTGGGTCACTCTGTAGTCTTGAGTTCTTTGACCGAGAGCTCTTTCTATGCCAATCTTCCTTCCTTTCTCTCTTAATCTGATCCCCATCCCTCTTAATCTGATTTCTGGCTTCCCTGTTTGATTGATCGTGCATAAAACATTCCCTCAAAATAAGTATGGGAGGTCATGGAAATAAAACTCTTAGCTGCCCAGTTTGGAGCAGACAAAGCCACTGGCAGAGCTCATTAGAGCTGACATTGGCTGGCGGGCATCGCTCTTTGTCTCCTCGCCTATGTAGCCCAAGTGCCAGTTAATGGGTGGAGGGGTGGACTCATCATTCCTAACAATTAAAATGTCAATGATGGGGCAACCTAGAGGCCAGCCAGAAACTTTATGCAAGAGGAAGAGTGGGAAGCTTTGTGGCTGGATGGATCAGGAGAGGATTTCAGAAGATGATCTGGGGATTTGGGAAGGGAGGCTATGCTAGATTATTGTCTGGTTTTGTAACGGTTGGCTGACAGACAGACAGCAAGTTGAACGCTTCTTTCATGAAACCAGAAGGCTCAGCTTCGGAGAGCTTCAGCCTCAGGGCTCCCTTCCTGACCCCAAGATGTGTGCTCAGGATGGCCCTGAAGTTTCAGGCTGCTTCCATGTCAGGCGAGGCAGGCAAGGAGGGCCTGCTTTACTCCTGGGGAGAATTAACCTTCATTCTGATGGATGACTCAAGGTCAAAATTGGGTCAGATAACAAGGAATGTTTGTGAGGGTAAGGCTAAGAATGCCAACAGGCCACAGAGGCACGATAGGCAATTTCAGAATAAACTGAGCCTAATTGTTTCATTCTCTTGGTCAGAAACGTTGCTTGGCAGGCAGAGAAACAGTAATTGCTGAAAGCAAAACCATTACATGCATAATGTGATTTACTCTTTTTACTACTTTCTAAACTTTTTTGGTGGCTTGCCAGAAGAAAGGTGAAAATCAGTTCATTTGTTTAAGCTAAATGCCACTCACATGATTAGTCTTGCAAGACTGAAAGGGAAACCAGGGCTTTCAATTTTGCAATGTTCCGAATAAAGGGGAAAAAATTGGTTTGCAGTAAACTGTTTGCAGCTGGCCTTTGTCTGTTTGGATCCCGAGGAAACCCCCCCCCCCACATTCCCTGACTCAGCTTCAATGCTGCAGGCCAGCCCATGCAGGACAGGTGAAAACATGAACTCTGAACAGGTTATTTTGTACCATGAAGTTTACTCTGATTTGAAACAAAGGCCATTCTTCTCACAATTAAAATTTTTCCTGAGCATTTTGTGGGGAAAATCAGTTCAATTCATAATAATTCAAAGCACCAAAAGGCAAGAGAAGAAACAACGGATGGAAACTAACCAATGAGGGAAGCAACCTAGAACTAAGGAAAAATGGTGAGAACAATCAACCAGTGGAACAAATTGCCTTCAGAAGTTGTGGATACTTCATCACTGGAGGCTTTCAAGAGGAGACTGGACAACCAGCTCTGGACTGACCTTGGAGGATACATAGGTTCAGTTAGGATGTGGATGAGAGATTCCCCACCCACACATCCAAGAAAAAGAAAAGAAAAAGAAATCAGACAAAACTCTCTGCTGGCAAAGATGGCAGAGGATCCCTAGATCTCTCTCTGTTTTGAGGAAGGCATGTGGAGAAGAGGGCTGCTATTGGAGAACGCCTCCCCCCATAAACAGGAAGATGACTTCAAGAGGATGAATGAAAGCTTCAACATAACAGAATAACAGAGTCGGACAGGACCTTGGAGGTCTTCTATTCCAACCCCTTACTCAAGCAGGAGACCTAGCTGACAACTAGCTGACAACTTGAGTAAGCTATACTGGACCTAATTGTTACTAATAGAGAAGTGATAGAGGGGGTTGAAATTGCAGGAACTTTGCTGGAGAGTGTCATATTTGTGTCATATTAGAATTCAATGTAAAGCAGATACAAGCAACAACATAATCAGACCAGTGCTTTAGACTTTAAAAGAGCTAATTTTAACAAACTTAGAGAAACCTTGGGAAGGATTCCATGGATGAAAATCTTAAAGGGGAAAACAACTCAGGAAGCTTGGGAAACTCTGAAAAATATGATGACAAAAGCCCAGTCCAGCACAATACTACTAAAAAGAGTGAGTTGAAGTCCACCCATCTACCAAGGTTGAGAAACACTGCTCTAAGGTCCTTTTTTATTTATTTATTTATTTTTAAATTTGCATACCGCCCTTCTCCCTGAGGACTCAGGGCGGTGAACAGCCAAGTAAAAGCATAAACTACAAACATTAAAATACAATTAAAAAGATATATATATATAAATTTGACCCCATGCTTAAAAACAAATATCTTTGAAAGATAACCAACTATTCTCAAGTTTGAATATCATATTTTTATTTTTGGTGCCTGTGTTCCATAAGGCAAGGGAGAGGGAGAAACAGAATAAAATCAACTCTCCAGTTCAACCTTTTGCACAAGCGGGGGACCAAAACTTAAAGCTTGCATTTTAGCTAGCCGGAGACCCGACGTGCCCACCTCGAAGCGGGGTGCCTGGGAGCTGGGCCAAGGGCCTTGGAGAGCTTCGCGGGGGCTGGTCTTGGGAGAGCCCCCTTGGCTCCCTCCGGCCCTTTGCTGTCCCGCGCCCCCCGGCGTCCGTGGAAGAGGCCAGGCGCCCCCTCGCCGCCGCCCCTCCGGCCAAGCCGCCTGACGCCGCCGCGGCTAAGAGGATTGTGGGCTGGAAGGGGCGGCCCCGCGGGCTATAAGAGCAGGGCCCGCAGGAGCTGCCTCAGGAGCAGCTGAGCGGCGTGTCGCAGGTAAGACGGCGGCTTCTCAGCTCCCAGCCAGCTGGCCGCGGAGGCTGTTCGGAGCACGGGCGGTTCCTTCGGGGAGGGCTCGCCCGACGGACGGGGCTCTTGGGTGGGGCTGAGCTGGGCAGGGTTGGGGGGGGAGGCAGCCAACCCTGCCACGCTTTCCCCAGAAACCCTCGTCCACCCCGGCTTGCAAGGCCGTCCCTGCCGTCGGGCAAAGATCCAGCGCGGGCTGGGTCGGTGGGGCGAAGCTGAGGAGTTGGGCGCGCCGGTTTCTTCGGAGAAGCGTCGGCTTGGTCAGCTCCCCGCCTCAGACGCCGCCTAATAAATTAGGCAGCCACTGTTTTAGTTTTGTGGAATTGCAATTTCTAAAACTCCTCTGCAAGCAATTGAAACGCTTTCCCTTCCCCAAAGGAAGTTTCCATAGCTTTAGGCATTTCTGTAGTATATAAATGTTTCAAATATTAAGACTCGCTATTACTAAAAACGTGAAGAAAAATTTGATGGATTACTATATGCCTACATGGAAGAAATAAAACAAGAATTGGAAAAAAAATAACTTTTGACACCAGCAATCTATTGGAATACATTTGGTCCAATTGTTTTTCAATTCTTGAGCTCAGTTTTTAAATTTTAATATCTTCTCGGTGGAAGTTCCAACACAGGTTTTAAGATTGCCCCCTCCACCCCTAAAGAGTGTTTTTTTGTTTTTGCTTTAATGTATATGCCGCCCTTCTCCAGAGACTCAGGGCGGCTTACAATGCGTTCAGCAATAGCCTTCATACTTTTGTATATTTATACAAAGTCAGCTTATTGCCCCCACAATCCGGGTCCTCATTTCACCTACCTTAGAAAGGATGGAAGGCTGAGTCAACCTTGAGCCTGGTGAGATTTGAACTTGCAGTAATTGCAAGCAGCAGATGTTAATCACAATGCTTTAGTCCACTGTACTACAGGCTCTGTAGTGCAGTGGACTAAACCCCCAAACCCACCCTTTAGAAGTAATTAAAAACATTATAGACCCCCCCCCCACAGAAGCAGGGAAGCTTTTAAATTAAACACACCAGTTAAAAAAAAAAGACATGGATAAACTGGATCAAATCCAGAGAAAGGCTCCCAAGACGGAGAAAGGAAACCAAATCCGGTGAGGAACGGTGAAGGGACCCCAATATATTCAGCTTGCAGAAGAGAAGGCTAAGAGAGGAGTGGGGGCACCATGGCTGTGTTGAAGGATCTGAAAAGCTGTCCTAGAGGATTCAGTCTGATTCTCACTTGCTCCTCAGGGCTAGTCTAGAACTAAGGGTTGAAGATGTAGAGATTGGACCTGAGGAAGAAGAAGCTGTTGAGAGTCAGAGCTTCCAGGCAGACTTTTGGGTAATAGAAGAGACTTCACTGCAGACCAGTGAGCTTAGGTGTCGTCTCCGGAGACTTTTTTCAGGGTTTGTCCTTCCCGCATTGGATGAGGATACTAAGTGAAGGGGCATCATTTCCCTTGTGCTGCTGCAAGGACCCCTGCTCTCCTTTCTCGCCTTTCCTTCATCCTTGAACCAAACCAGATGGACAAACCACGGGGAGCTGCAGCCACAGTGGCTGGTCTGGCTGGGGAAGCCCCCTTTAGTTGGGTTGCCCCAGGGTCCTGGCAGCCGAGCCTGCCTGCTCTGCCCCCCTGGGAAGGGGCCAGTCTCTGCTGTGGTTCCTATTCTCCCTTGGTAAGCCCCTTTTGAGAGGTGGGCATGCCGGCCAATTCCATTACTCTAGAGAACTTCCACTCGAGTCCTCTCAGCTGGGCCATCAGATGGGGGCTGCAAAAATCAGGACAACCATTAGATGGCAGAAGAGGGTTTCTGTATTGTTGCCCTTTAGACATCTGGAGTTTTGTTAGCCAGAAGCAGCAGTCTGTCCTTTGAAGCAAGTGCATCTATTGCCCGAGATTAATTGAATCACAAAGTCCTTCCTTGTCTTCCTTCCGGTGTGGTCAGAGGGGATCAACCCGATTCCCTGGTTGGCCCATAAGGAGCCAAGCCATCTGGGCTTGTTCATTAAATCTGCAGGCGGAAACACCAGGGAATCAACTGAGTAACGAAACGGAGCACTTTGGATCATTTAGTATTCTATGGAAATGCTCCCACTAAATGTTTTTTTTTTAAAAAAGAAAAGTTGTAGTGTAAGATGTGCTCCTTATTTCTTCTATTTATGCAGAAAACCATGATTTCAAATTTCCACCTGTTTCTCCATTAATAAACATTCAAGTTAGCGGGTTCCTGTGTTCTACTTACTTGGTGCGTTGATTCCAGTTGTACAGAAAGATCCCTCCCAGCTAATCTCGCTTTGCTTTGAGTTAGAGATCTTAAACTTAAGTCACTGGGCAAATCCCAGCTAAACTTGCTGGAAACCAGCTAATTAAAACTGAATGATGCCTATAGCTTAGCACTGAGAAATAAGATTAGGTAACTAAAAATATTTTAGATGGAAGGTTATAGTGAGTGGTGAGCTGAGAACAAGCCAGCCATTTTGGTTTAACAGTCCCTCCTGAAGGAATGGCAGCTGCGGCACAACATATATATATATGCTTGACAAATAAAATAAAATAAAATAAAATAAATGGTTTCCTCACCTCCTGGACTTCAGGTCTCCTGGAGGGGCAAACTCGGGCCCGTATAAACCACGATAGAGAACTTCTAATGGCGCAGTTCTTCTCAACATCCCCATTTTAAATGGTTGGATCTCTGATCCTAAACTCCCAAATGGGTCTCTCAACTGGTACCGTTCTGAATCCATAACCACTGAGATATAGTTAATGGGGGGGTGGGGTGGGGGGATACAGTTTGACAATGCTAGTTATACCAACGTTGTATTGTTAACTGTGTGGATATGACTGTGCAAGCCAAGGGAGTTGGCCAGCCTCTTCTAGAGCTACAGGCCCTGGGCTATTGCCCTTGCCGCCTCTTGAAAAATCTGCCATGCAGATGCCCCATTGCCCAAAGATTCTTCTAGAACTGAGGAGGAAGCTTATGGCCCTGCGAGTATGTTGGCTCAAAAACACCCCCAGCCTTTTCTAGCCAGAGCAGGGACTCCAGGGAGCCCCCGTGGGAGAAGCTGCCCCAAGAAACCTCCTTCAGATGTGTCGGGCCTTTTTGGGGAGGGCTGTCTGGCGAGGATGGGTGCCCTCCACTGCCCTGATGGCCTACCGCTTGGTTTTCTCATCTCTTGCAGGAGTTCTGCTTCCGGTCCCCAAAGATGGCTGACGGACCAAAGTAAGTCTGGCTTATTTATCTCCCCCGTGGTCTGTGAGAAGGGTGCGCCTCATTTCACTGCCTCACCCCAGCCCAGCGAAAGGCACCCCTAGGAGGCTCCCTGGAGGCGCAGAGGGGCTTCTCTTCAGCCTGACTCTCCTACACTCGGCCCCTTTTCCTTGTGCTTGAGGCAGCTGGAGCCCCCAGTGCCCCACCAAGATTGGTTGCTAAGCTGATACCCTCCCAGGTTTTCCTGCTCACATTCCGTAGTGCAGGAAGATAACAGCCCCTTTCTCTCCATCAGCTCAGCTTCATTTCATAATTTGGCCGGGTTTCAATTACAGCGCAATTTTCAGTGATAATGTTCAACCCTTAACAATTTTAGCAACAATTAGACTGGTGGAGTCCTTGGTAGTGTCTGAACTTGGTTGAGTGTGGGGTTTGCTCCTTGTTTCATATGCAGCAGCTTGCCCAGCAGGTGTTAAGGGGGTGCGGTTTTCTCCTTGGTAGTTGCTTGATTTGGGTTTTGTGTTTGTCTGGGATTAATCCCTGCTTATCTGGGTGTCTGTTGCTGGAAAGGATGTGTTCTAGTATTTTTGTTTCCTTTTTTAGCTTTTGTGAATGATTTATCTTGATATGTCTATTCATGGCTGATTTGTGTGAATGTCAAAAACCCCTTAGCGTTCTTTGCCATTTGGCTTGGTCTAAAATACTCACAGTTTCCCAGTTGAAACTGTGGTTGAGTCTATCCATGTGTTGTGACACCAAGGAGTTTTTATGGTGTCCTCTGACTGCTTATTGGTGTTCATGGATGCGCTCTGCAAGTCTTCTGCCCATCTGCCCTATATAGTGGCTGTTATATATGTTCTTTATGTTGGCATTCTGGCAAATCAGCCATCAACTAGCTGGGCCATGAAAAATCTGCCAACAAAGCTTAGAGAGCCCCAAGGACTCCACGGTTCAGATGCTGTATCCTCTTCTACTTGAATAATTAGAATGGATTGCTGTGTCACAGGAAAAGAGGCTTACATGTTTTATAAATAATAAATATTATCAGATTGTGAACATTGGGGGGCAGAAAATTAAGGTTGGGCTTATCCAAGATGATAAGCAACTCCAGAGCTGTGACTGCTTCAGCCCTCCCCCTCCCCCACCACTGACAGATCCACCCCGAGAATCAAAGGATTCCTCCTGAGCTGCATCTTCCCGATGGAGCCCAGGACCTTTGCAAGGAATCACGGGTGATATCTTGGCATTTCTTCTTCTAGAGACCCCTTTTTATTTAATGGGAGGGGGTATATTTTAAAATGGAAGGTTCTGAATCTGGGGAAAGGAGCTAAAGTGATATTGCTCCTAAAGCTCAGATTTAAAGCTGTCATCTTTTGAGACTCTGGAAAAATCCAGGAGGAGCAAAGTGGCTGCATTTTGGATAGAGGACTCCGCTATTACACCTTTTAGGGCCTCCTGTCTGTAGTCTCTACACTATTCCTACTATTTACCATATTTTTCAGAGTATAAGACGCACCTTAGTTTTTGGGGAGGAAAATAAGAAAAAAGCTGATTGGCAGGTGGATCAGCCTCCCAGTATACCCCCAATCAGCTGTTCCCAGTGGTGAATTTTAGCAGCAGCTTCCTTGGTTGTGAGCTCTGTGCCTTGCTTTTTTTTCTGCCTCTGAAACTTCTGAAACTTTGTTTCAGAAAAAACTTTTTTTCCTGCCTCTGAAAGCCTCCTAAACAGCTTCAGAAAAAAAGCCTCTGAAGCTCTGTTTGGGGGCTTCTTTTCTGACGCTTCTTTTCTGATGCTTTTTTCTGCCTCTGAAACCTCCATTTGAGAAGCTGGGCGGGGCTACATTCGGAGTATAAGATGCACCCAGATTTTCACCCTCTTTTTGGGGGGGAAAAGGTGCATCTTATACTCCAAAAAATGCACTATGTTCTTTGTAGCTGTTCAGGAATGCCTCATGGGCACACTTCTAACAAATGCATTTTAAATTTTTAAACTATTTTGTGCTTCAGATTAACCACCAATATATACTATTATGGTATATAATATATTGTCCAGCCTCTGAAATTTCTTCTCTCTCCCTGCCCCCTCCATTTGTCTCCCCCTCCTCTTTTGGCAGAGTGTATAAGAAGACCTGTGCCAATGAGAAGGTAAGATGGGGGTTTGCTCTAAACGCATCACGAGGAGGCTAAATTGGCTCAATTTAGGCCTGAGGATTTCTGGCTAATTGGTGTTCAGTCAGGGTCTTAGTCAGAATAAGGGAGAGTGGATAGGATCATTCAGGGGAACCAGGGTGCCAACCTTGCATTGGCACTGCTGGATAGAGATTGACATTTGAGGGAAATTGAACCAGACCTGAGGCTGAGTTTTAAGTGCCCAGCAACGGATGTGACAGTTCAGTTGGGTTGATTCTGACGCATGCAGGAATTGGCCCTGACATGGCAATTTCTGTATATGCAATACCGGTAGTCCTTGACTTCCAATATTTCATTTAGTGACCATTCAAAGTTACAATGGCTTAAAAAAGCGACTTATGACTGTTTTTCATGCTTGTAACTGTTGCAGCATCCCCATGGTCACATGATCAGAATTTGGACGCTTGGCAACTGGCTCGTATTTAAGACGGTTGTCATGTCCCGGGGTCAGGTGGTTCCCTTTTGTGACCTTCTGACAAGCAAAGTCAATGGAAGAAGCCAGATCCACTTAACAACCATGCTATTAACTTAACAAATGCAATGATTCACTTAACAACTGTGGAAAGAAAAGTCGTAAAATGGGGCAAACCCACTGAACAAATGTTTCATGTACCAACATAAAACTTGGGCTCGCTTGTGACTCAAGGACTACTTGTTATACAACAGAAGGTTGTGCCCCATTTTCTGGATTAGCGCAGCCAGCCAAGAAAAGCCCAGACCGATCTTTGTCCAATCCGCTAATCTCCTCAGCTGGAGATCTTTTTTCAAATGGGATTCGGGTTAGAGGGGGCTCCTGAGCAGCTTAAATTGCACCAGGTCCAGAAATATAGTGTCACGGGAGGTTTCTGTGTTGGACCCCAGCTGTTCTTCCCTGGGCCGCCTGCTTGAGCTGTCCTGGTTTCAAAAAGCTGGCAGAATTTCATGTTTTAATGTTTGCCAGTGTGTTCACAGAAAAGAGCAACAATAATCTTATTGTCTTGTTTTATCACATAGAGTACTGCAGGGGTGGGTTCTAAATTTTTTTACTACCGGTTCTGTGGGCGTGGCTTATTTGGTGGGTGTGGCTTGGTGGTGGTGGTGTACTGTGTATGTGATTTATGTTTAGGAAAAAATAAATCAATTAAAGGCAAAACATTTCATTTGTGTCTTAAACTGTATTCTGTACTTTGCAGTCCATTCTCTACTCTTTCAAACATCATTTTGAATTTGTTTTCTACATAATTTTGCATTATCTGCAAATTAGAACCACTTGATAGTCCAGGCTGATGAGATACTATCAAGGAGGGCCTTTTGAGTTCCAAGTAGTATTGTGTGGAGGTGCCAATTTTTGTCATGGTGCCATTGGCCAAGATTATTGGGTGAAAGATACCTGTAAGCAAAGGTGGAGAACCATCTCCCCCCCCCTCTCTCTCCTGTCTATCCAGTTATCCATCTACCTGGGAAAGCGAGACTTTGTGGATCACGTGGAATCTGTGGAACCTGTTGGTATGTGATTTGCTTTAAATCCTGTTAGTGCTGATTGCATTGTATAGATTCTGCACCCTTTGGAAGATGGTGACGTAGAGGGCCAAGACAGTTCTGTAACAAGATAATCTGAATTTGTATAGTTACTTAATGCAGTCCAGAGCAACCAAAAGTTGCAAAAGGAAGAATATTCTAATCCCTCTTCTGATTAATACTTTTTATTAAAGGATATGCTTTCATGGGCTCACTTCATCAGATGCATGGTGTGACTAGGCCTGATTTAGGGTTTAAATTGGCATGAGGGGTGATGAGTACAATGGGGGTGGGGAAGAGAAAAGAAGACAGAGCATTTTCAGTGATTCGGTTAAGACAGTGTTTCTCAACCTTGGAACTTTAAGTGGTGTGGACTTCAATTCCCATTCTGGCTAGGGAATTCTGGGAGTTGAAGTCAGTTGCCAAGGTTGAGAAACTTTGAATTAAGAGATAAATTACTGATTTTGTTTGAGATAGAACTTATACTAATAGATCATTGGGCTGGATTTAGGATGAGTTGTTCACAAATGGACCAAACCCTGATACTATTACTTTGGTTATAAAAAAAAAATGCAGTCAGCTGTAGATTTTAGATCTGTCTTTGGTTCAGTTTTCAAGGATAAACTACAGTAAATGTTGAATATTTCTTCTGTTGATAGAGACTTTGTTTTGTTGCTGCAAATCTAGGAGATGATCATTGTTGTGCTCCTCTCTGTTTAGCTGTTTCAGTCAGACCAATAACTCTGGCCACTTGGAAACTGGAGGGTTTAGCTCAGCCCTTCCTGTTTCCATCTGTAAACTCTCTGACATTTTGCGAAAAAGTCACTGTGTTCTGATTGTGATCAATCTTTTACAAAACTCTGTAAGACACAACAAGGCCCACCTCAAGGGAACCAGAGTCCCTGCCAGCCATTTATACTTTCACTTTGGAACACCATTCACGGAGAGTTGCTGTAAGTTTGATGCGCCAAGCTAAGCTAAGACCAGGATTGGCTGAACTTTAAAGTAATAGTAGAATAATAGCCCCACATGATGTCTAGACTAGTGAAAAGAAGAACTAGGAGAGACATGATAGCAGCGTTTCAATATTTGAGGGGCTACCACAAAGAAGAGTGGTCACCTATTCTCCAAAGCAAGAAACAATGGATGGAAACTAATCAAGGAGAAAAACAACTTAGAAATAAGGAGAAATTTCCTGACAGTGAGAACAATTAAGCAATGAAACAGCTTGCCTCTGGAAGTTGTGGCTTTTACTAGCCTTAGCTCATTTTCTACCTTTGCCCTATATTCTGAGCTGAAGCTTGGTAGGCCTGCTTGGCGGTTATATCTGTTTCATCCAGGTAAAATAAGCATCCTTCCTTAGTTTTAGTCCCTTTGTGAGCTGGCTCTTCAAATACAGTTTCCTAATTTTCTTCCACACTCATGTGTTTGAAACAATCCTTAAACTGTTTTTCAAGTATTCTTAGTTTGCTATACTGTAACTGTTGGAATTCATTGTCAACAACTACAGTAGTATTCAGTCAGTAGATGGCAGTATTTTTAACTTTGGATCTATGGTATACATACTATATACTCTATGGTTTATGCTCTTTTGTTCTGCGTAGAGTTTCCTGTTTCCTGTTTCAGTTATATAGTTGAGCAGTAAAGCACATGGTGAATGTACTCTTTGTTTGCTCTGTGTAGTGCTTTATATAAACAGAATTCTTAACAATAACACATTTGCCTTTAAGTCCCAAGGGTGCTTTTTCAGGAGCCAACTGGGCTTTCTTGTTTTTCTTTTGAAGACGTTTCGCTTCTCAACCAAGAAGCTTCTCAGCTCTGACAGGATAGTGGGGAATGGAAGGGTTTATATTCCTTGCAGACTGCTGGTCATTTGCATCCTTTTAGAGGGTCGTTGAAGCATTGAGTAGTGCTCCTGGTTCCTGTAGTCTGCAATATTTTCCTCTGGAAATCCATTGGGATTAGGAGTAGGAATGGATAAATCCTTCCATTCCCCACCATCCTGTCAGAGCTGAAGAAACTTCTTGGATGAGAAGCAAAACTTTTTCTTCAAAAGAAAAAACAAGGAAGTCCAGCTGACTCCTGAAAAAGCACCTTTGGGACTTAAAGGCAAATGTGTTACTGTTAGAAACTCTGTTTATATAAAGCACCAAAGCCTGCTGAGGAATTCTAGGAGTTGAAGTCCACAAGTCTTAAAGTTGCTAAGGTTGGAGACCCCCTGGAATAGATGACAACAACAACTGGGCTCCAAGGACTCTCAACGGCCTCTGGAAAGCCTGGAAATTGGTTGTGGAGTTTTATTGCTATGCTTGGAGAGAAGGCAGACAGCCCTTTGCATCATCTTCATGCTGGTTTTTTGTTCTGTTTTTTTAATCAGGTTCTGTTATCTTTTTTATTTCTAGATGGAGTTGTTTTGCTAGACCCAGAAACCGTGAGTGACAGGAAAGGTACATTTCTTGTTTCTTTTTTCTCTTTGCCCTCTTCAGAAACATTATTTATTTATTTAGCAAATTGATCTCACTGGACATGGCTCTGGGCAGCATACAACCAACAAAAGAGCCTTGGTGGCGCAGCAGACTAAAGCACTGTTAAGTAACACCAGCTGCCTGCAATTACTGTGCGTTCAAATCTCACCAGACTCAAGGTTGACTCAGCCTTCCATCCTTCCGAGGTAGGTAAAATGAGGACCCAGATTGTGGGGGCAATAAACTGACTTTGTATAAAAAAGAACACTGCTTAGGGGGGCCCGAAAGTCCTACTAAGCAGGTATATACCAAAGTATGACGGCTATTGTTTAATGCATTGTAAGCCACCCTGAGTCTTAAAACATAATAAAATACTTAATCAGCCAGATTGCAAGAGAATAACAACCATTCAACTACAAAACATCTGTCTCTCAGCTCCCCATGGGATCTTCCTGGTTGCCGGGGAAAACACCTGTTCAGGACTTTTCCAAAGGCTATCAGAGATGTGTCTGACCTCATCTCAGAGGGAAGCCTGGGAGCCACCACAGAAAAGGTGTTTCTTCTAGGTTCCACCAGGTGGAAGTTAGCAGACGGGACCTACAGCACACCCTTCCTGCTGGATAGGTATATGGAATTGGGGAGAGGCGGTCCCTCAAATAGCCTGGTCCCAAGTCAGGCTAGCGATCAAAGGCAGCCCCTTGATTTGAACCAGGAAGCAGTCTGGAAGCCAATGCAGCTCATGGAACAGAAGTATAAGGTGTCCTATAAAGGGCTCAGGGAGCTGTCCATGCAGCTGCACCAGTTGAAACCTCCAGTTATTCTTCAAGGGCAGCCCCATGTAGAGCACATTACAGTAATCCAGCCTAAAGGGCATGAAGGACTGAGCCTCAAGGCACACAATGTGAAGCTGTGCAAGGCCCTCTTGATCACAACTGCCACTTGCTCCTCAAGCAGGAGTTGTGAGTTCACAAGGACCCCCAAATTGGACCCCGAAATCAGCCGCCAATAGACATTAACATCTGTAGACTATGCAAAAGAGACAATCAACCAGCCCAAAAGAGAACAAAAAAACTCCAGCACCTGATTAGCATAGATTAACTCTAAGGTTAACTTCAGACCAACCATCAAGTAAGCAACATCCCAATCAAGAAACTGCCAAAGAGCCATCAGTAAAGGGCCCAACCAAGGATCTCCCCCCCCCACCCCACACACACAGACAGGCAAGTCACCAGAATATAAACTGACAGCAAACAGTACTCCTTACTAGCACTGATGATGTTACCTAGTTGGGTAATGAAACGTCTACAAGAAAACAAACTCAGAGAGCACCAAGGACCCCTCATTTCAACCCCAAGCTACAAATATTGTCCTTTATTGGCACCCACAGACTGTGTATCAGGTCTGTCTGTATAATGGAATGTATGGATGATCTTGGAGGATGAGGGGAAGAGATGCTGCCTAAGAAACAACCAGTCAAGAGAAGCAGGAGCCCTCAGACGCTTAATGGTCAGGAAAAGAACCTTAGGAAGGATCCTCCCTAATGGATCAGATGGTCAAAATTGAAGTTTGGACCTCCATAGTTGCAAGATTGTGTTAATGTAGCCCTATGATAAAGTAGAATTAGTTCATCTGGTTGTGTTTCTTGACTGGTTTGCTAGTCTGAGGGACTTCTGTCATATCCAGTATCAAAGTTATTTGGTATTTGCTACCAAAGACAGCAAAGATCCAGAAGGCCCGAAAACCAAGAATCACTTCCATTTTCAATCGAAGCCTCTTTTCCATCCAGATCCGGAACTAAGAGTAATTGTTTTCTTTCCTCCATCTCTCTGCCTAAACCTGCTTATAAGTGTTCTCTTGTATTTTTCTCTGCTCTTTTTTTTTTTTTTTGTCCTTCATCCTTGGATGGTCCAGTCTATGTGACCCTCACATGTGCATTCCGGTATGGTCGAGATGACCTGGATGTCATTGGGTTGACCTTCAGGAAGGATCTCTATGTCCTCACAACTCAACTTTACCCACCAGTGCCAGACCAGGCTCCGAAGACTCTCACACCCTTACAGGACAAGTTGATGAAGAAGTTAGGAGAACATGCTTACCCGTTCACCTTTGAGGTATCCAGTGATTTGTGAAGTTTCCCCCTTCCCCCTTCCTTCCCACAGCTACAGCTGCTGCATGTATGGGCTGCCCCATGCCCATACGAGGGGCATCAGAAGCTTCTGAGATGTGGCTATGGGCTACCCCATCAACTCAAATTCCTCCTGTGTAAAGTAAAAGATTGAGGCTGTAACTGTTTTTTTTTTTTTTTTTTGTATTCTACTGCATGGAAAAAAGTCAGACGTCACTACTTTTTTCTTCCTTCTTCAGTTCTTTCTACACTTCTCCTCTTTCTGGCTTTTTAGGAATTAGTTTTTAGGAGTTTAGGAGTTTTTAGGAGATAGTTTTTAGGAGCCCTGGTGGAGGCACAATGATTAGAATGCAGAATTGCAGGCTGACTCTGCACACAGCCAGGAGTTCAATCCTGGTTAGCTCAACGTTGAGTCAGCCTTCTGTCTTTCCCAGGTCGGTAAAATGAGGACCCAGATTGTTGAGGGCAATATGCCGATGCAAACCACTCAGAGAGGTTTGTAATGCACTGTGAAGTCTAAAGTGCTATTGTTATTGATATTTTTCAATTTTTATTTCTATTTTATCTTGCAGTAACCTTTAATTTAAAAAATGGAAGTGCCTCCCACATTGCTTTATTCCCCTTACCTGCACTATGATTGTGTTGTCTGGTGAGGGGGGGGATTACTGTGCTCTCTCCTCCCCCATCGCTCGGGGACCTTGCCGAAGACGTGGTACTTCTTGGACTTTTAGGAAGGGAGAAGCTCTGTGTGTCTTCATATCTGGGACTCTCTTCAGGATGGTTATTGCATCTGGTTTTTTTGTTTCCATAGATGGCGACCAATCTGCCCTGTTCAATCACACTGCAGCCAGGAGCAGATGACACTGGAAAGGTGGGTGGCAACTTCATGTTCGGATTTCACTCTTCTCCTCCATGGGGAGGAGGGGGTCGCCAAGCCGAATGCCAAGTGTAGAGACAAGAGTGAGTTAAGGGCCCCTCAATCTTGGAAGCCCCAAGGCTCTGGTTTTTCAGGCTGACTCACTCCCCAGCTGTAGCACTGGGCTCATCCTCCCAACCCAACCAGTCTCCCTTGGAGCTGCACATCTGCTTGCCTGGTTCCTTGAATGGATCCTTAGCTCCGCTTCTAGTTTGCCCCGCTTTTTTCAAACTATCATTTAAAAAAAAAAAAAAAGATTTCTCAGGTGATCAGTTCCTTTCTATGTTTTGCTGCATTTCCTTTGCCTTCCTTCCTTGAGCTGCAGTGTCTCTGGAGCAACCACTGCAAAATACGAAGGGAATGAATAAGCAGAGCAACTGGTCTCTGGACACCATCTCTGGTACTGGGTAGCAAATACAAATCTGATCTCTTCTCTAAACCAGGGGTCTCCAACCTTAGCAACTTTAAGACTGGTGGACTTTAACTCCCAGAGTTCCTCAGCCAGCAAAGCTGGCTGAGGAACTCTGAGAGTTGAAGTCCACCAGTCTTAAAGTTGCCAAGGTTGGAGACCCCTGTTCTAAATGTATTTTATCTTTGGCTGCTTAGTGTTGCTAAGCGTCTGACTTTTGATCCCGTGAGCATGGGGATGCTCCAACGGTCACAAGTGTGAAAAATGGTCATAAGTCCCTTTTTTCCAGTAACTTTGAACGGTCACTAAATGAACTGTGGTAAGTCGAGGACTATCTGTAGTCCACCACCTATGTAATGCAAGAATGTCCCACAGGTGTTTTTTTCAGAAAGCAACTGGCCTTTGGTTTTTCCTTGAAGACATTTCGCTTCTCCTCCAAGAAGCTTCTTCTGTTCTGAGAACTGAAGAACTGAACCGAACTGAGAACTGAAGAAGCTTCATGGAGGAGAAGCGAAATGTCTTCAAGGAAAAACCAAAGGCCAGCTGCTTTTTGAAAAAAACACCTTTGGGACAGCCATGACCTGGATGTCTGAGAATCTCCATAGACGTAATGGAGGAAATCCCCCCTGGGGATTAGTCCATCGGCCACTGCTTTTCATCTTCCTGTGACTCAGTTTACATTATGTCAGTGGCAAGCTAGAATAAAGGTTCTACGACGTGGGAAATCCTTCAAGAGGCTAAAATTCCTCTCTTAAACTTTCTTAATGATAACTGTAAATAAAGGCACAATTTGCCCCGCGTCAACTTGTAACCTCTGCTCTTGTGTCTCCCGCAGTCCTGTGGTGTGGATTTTGAGGTGAAGGCGTTTTGTGCTCAAGACCCAGAAGAGAAAATTTCTAAGAAGTAAAGCCAGCAATTTTTAACCTTTAGTTATTTACTGTATGTCATTCATGAAACAGTTCCACGGTTAACCAGACCAAAAGAGATGACTCTGTATTCAAACGTGCTTTATCTTGTATCGTAGCCTGTTAAACATTTGTGTCCTCTTTCATTCTGATTAGGTTGCAAATACTTCTCAACTCTAGTTGTGCAAAGAGGCCTTCGTGCCTTTGGTTAGCCAGTCTAGTAGATAAGTGGGAGGGTTAGAGGGGCCTCTTCAGAATGGTGGCGTTTGTCCTCCTTGTTTTTGGAGGACGAAAAACATGGCACTGATTCTGATGAGTTGGAAGGGCAAATGAACTCGTTTTAGCTGTTGACATCCAGATACTCCTTGAAGATGGCTAACTAGTGGCCAGACATGGGATACCGCCTCTTTGCTGGGTTTTGGGCTCCTGGCTGCAAGTTAACATTGCAGTCAAATGCTTGGTATGGGGGAAGGGGTATTGTAGCTGCCTCTTCTTCCCCCCAAATGTCTGCAAATTCTGCATATTTTTCAGGCCTTGCTGATCCATCACACCTGAAAGTATCCCTCCCTTCCTACAGTTTTATTCTCCCCCAAACTAGGGGTGTGTGTGTTCCGCTTTTGGGATGCTTTCACTACTCTTCCTCCCTTGGGCTCAAATTTCATTCGTCAGACTGTTGTCTAAACTGTGTCTCTTCCTCCTGTCTCCAAAAATCATTTTCACTTGGTCTCCATGCTCCAATTCCAGTCTTCCCTATGGCTATTTTCACCTTATTCTCCAGGTTGAAACATTTCTGGGAAGTGGGGTGAAAGGTAAAAGACCAAGGCTACATGAAGTATTTCCAGCTTCTCTTTAGAGCAGTGGGTCTCAACCTTCCCAATGCCGCGACCCTTTAATAGTTCATGTTGTGGTGACCCCCAACCATAAAATTATTCCTAAAACCATTGAAAATATGTGTTTTCCGATGGTCTTAGGCGACCCCTGTGAAAGGGTCGTTCGACCCCCAAAGGGGTCCCGACCCACAGGTTGAGAACCACTGCTTTAGAGCCTGGGGGAGGGAGAGAGGGAGGGAAGGGGGAAGGGGGAGAGAGAGGGAGAGAGAGAGGGAGGGAGAAGACGGAGGGAGAGAGAGGGAGGGAGGAAGGAAGAGGAGAGAGAGGGAGGGGGGAAGGGGAGAGGAGAGGGAGGGAGAGGAAGGGAGGGAGAGAGGGAGGGAGAGGGAGGGAGGGAGGAAGGGGAGAGAGAGGGAGGGGGGAAGGGGGGAGGGAGAGAGGGAGAGGAAGGGAGGGAGAGAGGGAGAGAGAGAGGGAGGAAGGAAGAGGAGAGAGGGAGGGGGGAAGGGGAGAGGGAGGGAAAGAGGGAGGGAGGGAGGAAGGGGAGAGAGGGAGGGGAGAGGGAGGGAGGGAGGAAGGGGAGAGGGAGGGAGAGAGGAAGGGAGGGAGGGAGGGGGGAAGGGGAGAGAGGGAGGGAGGAAGGGGAAAGGGGGAGAGAGAGAGAGGAAGAGAAAGAGGGCGAACTTCATGTTTCTGATTGGTTCAAGAGGCTTTGATGCTCTCTGCCCTTGTCCAGGTTGGCAGGGTTAACCTTGATTGATTTTTTTCCTACCTGAGCCTTTGTGGGACAGGATTCTTCCCTCACTGTTATTTTCTATGATAGTTTACAAATTCAGCAAAGCCGAAAGAATACTTCACCAGGATTCCCTCTCCTGCCTCTCCTTGTGGCTGTGGAGTGCTGAACCCCCGTTTCATCTGCTTCCAGGAACTCCGTGCGGCTGGTCATCCGGAAGGTGCAGTTCGCCCCCACCCTCACGGGCACCTCGCCCAAAACTCAAGTAAACAAGCAGTTCATGATGTCAGACAAGCCGCTGCACCTCGAGGCGTCCATGGACAAGGAGGTCGGTGTCTTCTCAGTCGCTGCCATGCTGAAGGTCTCGGTCCTCGGGATGGGACAATTCGCCAACTCACCATGGCCCCTCTCACCGTGGGACAATTCAACAGTTCATTTCATTTTTTTTTTCATTTATTCAAATTTCTATACCGCCCTTCTCCTTTCGGACTCAGGGCGGTAAACAGCCAGATAAAAAACATCTATACAAACATCACAGTTAAAAATAAAGTTAAAATAATTTATAAATTTGGCCCATAATTTAAAACTTGTCAATTAAAATATTAAAATTTTAAAACTAACCCTAAAATCAGGACAGACCGGCTAGCTGAAAAAAATGAGTTTTTAGGGCCCGACGAAAAATCCGGAGGTCGGAGATCACTCGTATCTCTGGGGGTAGATTGTTCCATAGGGTAGGTGCCACCACAGAGAAGGCTCTCCTCCTGGGGGTCGTCAGCCGGCATTGTCTGGCCGACGGCACCCTGAGGAGGCCCTCTCTGTGGGAGCGAACCGGCCGGTGGGAGGCTATTGGTGGCAGAAGGCGGTCCCGTAAGTACCCTGGCCCTAAGCCATGGAGCGCTTTAAAGGTGATCACCAACACCTTGAAGCGCACCCGGAAGTCCACCGGAAGCCAATGCAGCTCGCGCAGGAGAGGAGTAACATGGGAGCGCCCCGTCGCTCCCATAATCCCCCGCGCAGCCGCATTCTGCACCAGTTGGAGCCTCCGGGTGCACCCCAAGGGGAGCCCCATGTAGAGAGCGTTACAATAGTCCAGACGAGAAGTGACGAGTGCTTGAGTGACCGTGCGTAGGGAGTCCCGGTCCAGAAAGGGGCGCAACTGGCGTATCAGGCGAACCTGACAAAAAGCCCCCCTGGCCACGGCTGTCATATGCCCTTCTAAGGACAGCCGCGCATCCAGGAGGACACCCAAGTTGCGGGCCCTCTCCGTGGGGGCCAATGATTCGCCCCCAATAACCAGCGATGGCGTCAGCTGACTATAGCGGGACGCCGGCAGCCACAGCCACTCGGTCTTGGAAGGGTTGAGTCGAAGCCTGTTTCTCCCCATCCAGACCCGCACGGCCTCCAGGCACTGGGACATCACTTCCAAGGCATCATTGGGATGGTCTGGGGTGGAGATGTACAGCTGAGTATCATCAGCGTACTGATGGAACTCCACCCCAAAACCACGGATGATCTCACCCAGCGGCTTCACATAAATGTTGAACAGGAGGGGCGAGAGGACCGACCCTTGCGGCACCCCACAAACAAGGCACCTTGGGGTCGACCGCTGCCCCCCTGTCAACACAGATTGCGACCGGTCGGAGAGATAGGAGGAGAACCACCGCAGAACAGTGCCCCCCACTCCCAGTCCCTCCAGCCGGCGCAACATGATACCATGGTCGATGGTATCAAAAGCCGCTGAGAGGTCTAATAGGACCAGGATAGAGGAATAACCCCTCCAGAGATCATCCACCAACGCGACCAATGCCGTTTCCGTGCTGTACCCAGGTCTGAAGCCGGACTGGAGCGGATCCAGATAGACAGCTTCATCCAGGTACTGGGGGAGCTGTCGCGCCACCACACTCTCAACAACCTTCGCAATAAAGCGAAGGTTGGAGACTGGACGATAGTTAGCCAAAATAGCCAGATCCAGGGATGGCTTCTTGAGGAGAGGCCTCACCACTGCCTCTTTCAAGGCGGCCGGCAGGACACCCTCGCTCAAAGAAGCGTTAATAATCCCCTGGAGCCAGCCTCGTGTAACCTCCCGGGAAGCCAGCACCAACCAGGAGGGACATGGGTCCAATAAACATGTGGTTGCGTTCAGTCGTCCCAAGATCCTGTCCACGTCCTCGGGAGCCACAGGATCGAACTCCTCCCAGATAACACTCTCAAGGCCTGCCTCAGTCATCTCGTCTGAACTAACCCAGTCGGCGGCCAAGTTTTCCCGAATCTGAGTTATTTTATCATCCAGATACTGTACAAAATCCTCAGCTCGGCCCTGCAAGGGGTCCTCCCGCGCTCCCAGATGGAGGAGGGAGTGGGTCACCCTAAACAGGGTGGCTGGGCGGTTATCTGATGACGCGATAAGAGCGGCAAAATAGCTAGATTTCGCCGCTTTTATCGCCACTAGGTAGGTCTTAATATGAGACCTTACCAGTGTCAAGTCAGACTCGGAACGACTGGCCCTCCAACCGCTCTCTAGGCGTCTTTTCCGGCGCTTCATCTCCCTCAGCTCCTCGGAAAACCAAGGAGCTAAGTGAGTTCGGTGCCGGGTCAGAGGCCGCCAAGGCACGACCCGGTCCAAAGCCCCGGCAGCCGCCCTATCCCAGGCGGCCACCAGGTCATCAGCCGAGTCATGAGCTAGAGTCTCAGGAAATGGCCCAAGCTCCATCTGGAACCTATCAGGGTCCATCAGGCGCCTGGGGCGGAACCACCTGGTCGGTTCCGCCTCCCTGCGACGGGGTACAGCGGTCAGAAAGTCAAGTCGAAGGAGCGAGTGGTCAGACCATGACAAGGGTTCAATATCTACATCCCCTATATCAAGGCCACTCAACCACTGACCAGAGATAAAAACTAAGTCCAGAGTGTGTCCCCCCATAGTTCAATTTTATTGTTTAAAATAATTTAAAAACTATTTTAATTTTTGTTATTCACTTTTCATTTTGTCCCTCCTTTGGCGTCCTTTCTTTAATATTCCAGCATTTCTTTGATCTTAGTGTCATTCTTATTCTGTGGCAAATTGTCCCACAGCGAGTTGGACATGGGGAGTTGTCCTAGATCAGTGTTTCTCAACCTTGGAAGCTTGTAGATGGGTGGACTTCAACTCCCAGAATCCCCCAGCCAGCAGCGCTGGCTGGGGGATTCTGGGAGTTGAAGTCCACCCATCTTCAAGCTTCCAAGGTTGAGAAACACTGCTCTAGTATGTCTTTTAAGCTCCATAGCAGTCTCTGCCCCCCCATTCCCCCAGAGATTGTCCTGGCTGGGGGATTCTGGGAGTTGAAGTCCACCCATCTTCAAGCTACCCAAGGTTGAGAAACACTGTCCTAGATGCTCTGTCCTGGCCCCGTCTCCTTTCAGACAGGCTCATGTTCTCTCCTTGAAGCTCTGTTTGGTAATCCCAACTCTTGCGGGAACCCCTGGCTCTTGGCTCCTGGTTCATTGAAACTGCGGGACCCTCCAGAGTAGTATGTGCATTTTTCACAGGTGCTACTCTTGTCATCGACTTTTTCTGATTTTACCCACGTTTATTGTCTTCCTAAGACTGGATTTCTTCTAATCATAGATGGGTTGGTTTGCAGTGTAGCTTCACAAGATTAGAAGGGAAAAAAGAGGGCAGAGGAGCTTGCTAAATGGGGCCCCTCTCCAGAATTAAGAGGGTGCTGATTTTCTATCTGATTTTAGTAACCTATTGTGATTTCAGATTTATTACCATGGGGACCCGATTGGAGTGAATGTGGACATAAACAATACTACCAGCAAGATTGTGAAGAAAATTAAAATATCAGGTAAGGGACAAATTAAACAAGCCATGGAAGCAGCCCATTCATGGGGGAATCGGCTATTGCCCTGTGTCCACCTCCGTCTTTTTAACCTTTTGCATCACCCAGTAATTCTCCCTCTGAGTTGGTCACCAGATGAAGGTTGGAAGCCCTGGACCTTATGATGTTGAATGACTTTAAAAGTCATGTCTTGGGGGTGGGGCGGGGGGCGTAAGAGAGCCAGAGTTTGTGGCCTTTGTGGCAGCGGTGAAATTCACTTACCTTCTCTAGCGGTTTGAGAATTTCATAGGGATGGAAAGGACCTCCAGGTCTTCTAGTCCCCGAGGCAAGTAGTCAAGTGGGTGGTCTATTCTATTCTTGAAAACCTTGAAAAATGATGGAGGTTTTCCCAATTTACACATCTCTACCAACATCCCAAAGTCTATAAATGCGCTAGAGCAGAGGTCCCCAACCTCTGGTCCGTGGACCAGGCCGCAGGATGCCAGAAACCTTGGCCACGCAAACAAGCGAAGCCCCATCCCCTGGATGCAGGCAGCATGCGAAACCACACGCCCTGCGGTCCGTGGAAAATCCTCTCTCCACGGAAGTGGTCCCTGGCACCCAAATGTTTGGGGGCCACTGCACTAGACAACCAAAAAGACATTGTGCATCATTGCTTAATTCCCTGCTCAGCTTATATCACAGATTGAACATTGCATGTATTCCAAAATACACGACTTCCATCATTCATTGTGCATTACGGGCCTAATGATTCCTAATCCCATCTCCACATTAGCGTGAACCATTTCATCACTTGAGCTCAAGCAGTTTATTACACAACATTCAGGACCCGCGAATGTGGTTCTGGAAAAAGCATCCATGGATCCTTCACTAATTTTGTAATCTTTCACCAACAATCACCACAGTCACGTTTTGAGATGTTTTCCTTTGCCAGGGACATACATTGTAAACTCGCTTAAATCACATATTCAGTACAGATCTTTTTCTAAGCAGATATTCACCAAACAATCATCGTTCTCATTCATTGTTGGTTATCCAGCTCTCTGGAACCAGTTACCTCCTGAGATCCGGACCATCCCCACCCTATTGGCCTTCCGGAAAGCGGTGAACCCCCGGCTTTTCCAGCAGGCCTGGGGCCGTTGATCTCACTGTTCAATCTTGCGAGATCCGGCCATGAATGGTGTGCATGGGCTTTTAATGTTTTAAAAATGTTTTTATAATGTTTTTTAATACTTTCCCTATGTTCTTTGTTGTATTGTTTTTTGCTGTAAGCCACCCAGAGTCCCTTGGGAGTTGGGCGGCATAGAAATTTGATAAATTAAATTAAATTAAATCTGAATGGCCAAATCAGTTTTTTTGACCCATGATTCACTGCTCACATCTCACCAACTTAGTAGAAGGTACATGTAGTGTACTAACAGAATAGCAGAATTGGAAGGAACCTAGTCCAACCTTCTGCTCAAATTGACACACTCAAAATATGCGGATGCTCCATCACCGGAGGTTTTTAAGAAGAGATTGTCCAGAATGGTATAGGATCTTCTGCCTGAGCAGGGGATTGGACTAGAAGACCTCCAAGGTCCCTTCCAACTCTCTTATTCTGAAATATTAAAGTATTAGGGACACAGTTCCACCTGCATGTTTTAATAAACTTGTAATATCTGTGTAAAATCCCCCACTCCCTACAACCTTAGAGGATTACCACTGATCTACGGTGTCTCCTTTTCTCTCCAGTTGACCAGCTGACAGATGTGGTTCTCTATTCCCTGGATAACTATACGAAGACGGTCTGCTCAGAGGAATTTGTGTAAGTGGCCTGTCTTTGGTAGGTGGGAGTCAAGGAGAAGAGAGGGCGGTGGGTCCAGTCTTGGTAGAACGTTCTCTTGGGGCTTTGGCTAAAGACAGCAGTTGTAAGCAGAGCATCTCTGATGGTCTTCTGTTTTGCCCCGAAACATGCTATATATATGTGTGTGTTTTATTCATGTTTGAATTTTTAAAGACATTTTGGAAAATGGAATCTTTATAGTTGGATATCTTATGGAGATATGAAAGCCTTTGACAAGGGAAAAGGTCACTCCTGAATTGAGGTGGGGGGGAATGCATTCCCCCCCAAAATGGAGGAAATGGCTGTTTAGGTGATCTGATCGTTCAGAGGCTAAAGTAGGGGTTCATGAAATTGCTCGATTTGGATGAATTGGGGATAATTCCAGTGAATTCAGGAAAGGAGGGCTCATTCGGCCTCATGCCATGAAGTTGTCTGTTTTGATGCATCGGAGCGGATCTGTCCCTCTCGCTTTTTCCAGTGCATACGCACGCAGTAAAGCCCCTCCTTTGCACGCACAAGGGGCCCACAGAATGGGAGTGCAGGCGTGTAAGTCACATGTTCCTTGATTCAAGTCTATTTCTCTTCTGGGGAAAAATGATTTTCTCCATCGTTGCCAAGCTAGAGTTTTCGCAAGCATCAGCAGAGCCCAGCAGCTTCTCGTCCACTGATCTTGCCTCCCTTTTCCCACAGGGAGAACGTGGCTGCAAACTCCACTTTCTACAAAACGTTCACGGTGACTCCCTTGTTGTCCAAGAATCGCGAGAAGCGTGGTTTGGCTCTGGATGGGAAGCTGAAGCACGAGGACACCAACCTGGCTTCCAGCACCATGTAAGAGGAAACGCCTCCTCCCTCCCTCCCTCCCTCCCTCCCTCCCTCTGGCTATTGCTCCCCAGCTCTTCCAACGTCTCCCCTTCTTTATCCTTAGTCTGAGGCCTGGGATGGACAAAGAGGTTCTGGGCATCCTGGTTTCCTACAAAGTGAAGGTCACCTTGGTGGTATCGAGAGGAGGGTGAGTCTTTTTTTCCAGAAGAACAGTGTGAAAAAGCCCCCTTTGGATTCTGCCCCACTGCCTCCGTCTCCCTCTGTCCCCCCTCCCCACACTTTTCCTTGGGGAACTCAGCCCCACTTGACATTGGGACATGCCTAGCCATTAGTGGGGTGTGGGGGTGTGGGTGGGAGTTTCCGTGGCTTTGAGAGGCAATCTGCTCAGAGAGCCGGTCCAGAGCCTTCGCCCACTGCCTGGGCTTCCTTGGCTCTGTTCCTGGCGGGTTCTTGCCTGGTATTCTGATTCTGTTTCATTCGTATGATCTGCTAGGTCAAGTACAGGAAATCCTTGACTTGCAACAGTTCATTTAATGACCGTTTGAACTTACAACGGCACTGAACAAAGTGACTTCTTATCGTATTATTACACTTATGACTGTTGCAGCATCCCCATGGCCACGTGACCAAAATTCAAGATGCTTGTCAACCGACTCATACTTATGACGGTTGCAATGTCCCAGGGTCACGTGATCCCCTTTTGCAACCTTCTGACAAGCCAGGTCAATGGGAGAGCCAGATTCACTTAACAACCATGTTACTAACTTAGCAACTGCAGTGATTCACTTAACAACGGTGGCAAGAAAGGTCATAAAGTGGGGTAAAATTCACTTAACAACTGTCTCGCTTAGCATCAGAAAGTTTGGGCTCGATTGTGGTTGTAAGTCGAGGGCTTCCTGTGGACACATGGGCAGCCTTTGGTTTTAAATGTTATCACGACTGATATATATTAACAACGTGATATGTGACATTAAATTAAAGGAGAAAAAGTTGTGGAGAACCATCTCAAATGGCTCGAGAGGCCTCTTCCCCGTCCATTTGCTAAAGGCAAGCAAACCCTCATTCAAGTATTCATCCGCAGTCTTGAGCTGCAAAGATCTTCCAGAATTGTTCTCAAGATCAATTCGAAACCCAGCTTTGGCTGATCTTTACAAAATGACGCTTTCTTAGGACTCGGGTGGGAGATCCACAGGGCGTTCTGGGGGATAGACTAGATTGGGAAAATTGTAGCCCACCATCCAAAGCAGGTCAGAAAGGGATCAAGCAAACACAGGAATGACTTCATTCTTTCTTCAACAGACTGGAGCTTACATGCTAAGACGAAGCCCGGCATCCTTGCCATGCATTCATTAATCAAACAAACCAACGTTGCAGGGAGTTTGGGCCTCTACTTAATGCTTCTAGCTGGCCTGTTAAACTGTGTAACTAGAATAATCAGAGACATTTAATCAAGGAAGTGTAGCGATTTCAGTCTATTTGCACAATTCCTTTGTGCACATATTGGACAGAAATTGGAAGATTGGAGGCTGAACTCCAGCAATTTACTGGCAAAAAAATAGCAATGGAGAGTTGCTGTTCTGAGAGCCAATTTGGTTTAGTGGAGAAGGTGCCAGGCTAGAAACCAGGAGACGGTGAGTTCTAGTCCCTCCTTAGACATGAAAGCCAGCTGGGTGCCTTTGGGCCAATCACTCTCTCAGCCCAGTCCACCTCACAGGGTTGTTGTGGGGAAAATAGGAGAAGGAAGGAGCATTAGGGATGTTCACCGCCTTGAGTGGGTTATAAGAATAATACAGACAGTAAATAAATAAATAAATAAATAAATAAATAATAAATAAATAAATAAATAAATAAATAAATAAATAAATAAATAGAATGAATTGAATGAATTGAATGAATTGAATGAATTGAATGAATGAATGAATAAATAAATACCGGTAAATAAAAATATAAATAAAATATCTTCCCTTTCATACATATGCAGTGCCCTTTGTGTATTCCATACTGAGCCTTCCTTCTTTCCACAGCATCCTGGGAGATCTCACATCAAGGTAAGTATGGATTTATTGATTACTAAATCAGTTTATTCCCGGTTGTTTTGAAAGGTGCCTGGCTTAAGCTTTGCAGTCTGTGCTCTTGAGTGGGTGCCGTCATGCTGCGATACCTTTGAGGATGGTGGGTTATTGGAGGGCCAATAAACTGGCTTTCAGGGTAGTCCCTGGATTAGAGATTGTGCTTGCATAGAAGAAGAGGGTGAACAATTTGGGCTGTGATTCCTGGTCAGAATATGCAAAGATGTGCCATTCCTGCCCTCACCATTATCAGAGAGCGCCACCCACGGCATAAAGGTAGTTCAAGGCTGGTGACCCAGTGTGGAGTTTGCTCTTATTAAGGAGCAGGTGTGAAAGCCTCGGTTGACCAGAGCCAGGATGGCTGGCCAGGTTCAGTCTCTGTGGGCCCACCTGCTGGCAGCCACAGCCTAGGCAAAATGGCAACGTAGAATAAGAAGAGTCAATGTATAGCATATAAGGAAGCCAAGAATGCAACGTACATTGTGTCTATGAGTCTGTGAGAAAGGGGAAAGCTCAAGAAATATTAGACTGAGACTGGTCTGATTTTGTGGAGCTGATGAACACATAAAGTGAAGTGAAAGTGTGGGTTTAATGGTAGTTACAAGCACTAAAAATATGTCAGAAGCTCTTAGTGTCATTTGGGTTGCTTGGATGTGTCTGGAAGGAGGCAGAGCAGAACTCTGCAACAGCCCCTTGGGGCTTCCAGTCAGTGGTCCATGGAGCTGTGCCGGCGTCCACGGCCTCTCCAGGATGGGTGGGCTGCAATGCCTGGTTCTCACCTTGTTAAACGTACACAGAAGCCAATGGAAGAAGTGATCTGGCAGGTGGGGCTTAGGTGTCCCCAGTGTACTTGGTCAGGGGAACTCATGCCAGGATCAATCACCACCTGGTTGGAGGACAGAAACGTGTTGGGACTCTAGGCAACCTGAGACACCTGGAGAAGGCCTGCTGAGGGTCCCTTCTCATCTAGGTTTCATTGGAGGTGCAGGACCTTCCTCCCACTCTCCCTCCCTCCCTCCCTCCCTATGACAGCATAGGTTGCCCCACAGGGGTGGAAGGCAGTTTCCCTTCTTGTCATTGGAACTGCAGAAGCTGTCTCTCCCCAATCTTCCTTAGGCCCCAGCTTATTGGTCAATGGGGCTTCCTCCAAGCATGTGTATTTCTGTTGCATATTTCATTGTTTGTTTGTTTTTTAAAAAATCAATTATTTATTATTGGGTTTCTTTTTATTCTGTTGTGTGTGGCCCAGGGTCATAAGATCAGTCAGTTAAAAACTACTTAAATAAAGTAAATGCACCTGTAAAAAACTTAAATGAATTTTGCATTAAAGAACATTCTGTGTCTCCTTTGGCTAAATGGATGTGGTTTCCTTTTCAGTGATGTCTCTGTTGAGATGCCGCTTATCCTGATGCATCCTAAGCCCCCCGAAAGTAAGTGTTGTTTAGGAAGCCCCCCGGCCTCGCTGTCTCAAGACCAGGTGGCTTTGGGGGAATGCCAGGCTCTGGGAAACGCTCCAGTTCTCCAAACTGGAATCAGCCACAGGCCCCCCTCCTTCAGTGATGGGAGAAATCCAGGGGCCACTGATGGAGTTGGGGGCGGATGCGAAGGGCCTATCTTTGGGGGTACCCCGTCTCCCCAAAGGACCCAAAGCAGGCAGCAAATGTCTGCTTTTGGGGGAGGATTTCATGCTGCTCTTAGAAATGGACATTGGAACTAGGTTGTTAATAGAGATGCGCTTTCCCCATTCTTAAAAGCATAAAAAAGGCTGCCTGGAACACATTGGCCTCTCCCTTCCTTCCAGCAGAGGAGGTGGGGGAGAGGAGTGAAGGAGACCCCCAAACCTTCGAAAGTGGCCCCTCCCTGCCCTGCCCTTGCGGGGATCAGCTTCTCCCAGCAACAAGCAGGACCTGCTGGGGACTCCGGTTCATGGGCCCTTCAAACTCTCTGGTCCAGTGGAGCCAAAGGATCACTATGGATTACTGACTCACCTTTCCACATCTCTGCTAAAAACACATCTAGATATTCAGACTTAATACATGGCAGATTTTACAGGGGAAAAAACTGCAGGGGGAAAAAAAATCAAAACCCACTTTCTAGACTTCCAGCCATCTTTTCAGAAGGGCAGGTAAGAGGGTCCCAAGACCAACCTGGGGAATCAGAATGAGACTCGGGGCGAACCACAGCCGAGGGGGTCGTGGTAACCAGGAGGCTGACAGGAAGGAGCTGCTTCCCGTCCCAGAGGGGCAACAGGCAGCCTCCCTCAGCTAGCCATGGCCTCCCCTTCTCCCCACTCTCCCCGCGTCTCACTCCTTTGTGAGAAGAATATTGAAATTCCAAGTCGGTGGAGGGCTGGATTCCTCTCCTGATTATTTAAACCAGGGGTCTCCAACCTTGGCAACTTTAAGCCTGGCGGACTTCAACTCCCAGAATTCCCCAGCCAGCAAAGCTGGCTTAAAGTTGCCAAGGTTGGAGACCCCTGGTTTAGGGGAGGTGCAATTGATTGGAAGTTCTCCCTAAAACCTTAAAGTTGCCAGGTTGGAGACCCCTTGATTTAAACGCCTTTTTCATTTTATGAAAATTCCGAGAATTGAAGTCCTGAAAGTTGCGAAGGTTGAGACATGCTGGTCTAAAGCAGAGATTCTCAACCTTAGCAAGATTTTTTTATTTATGAAAAAAAAAATGAAATGGGATTCTTTTTCCAAGCCCGGCCTTCCAACCACTGGATCAGTGGTGGGATTCAGCCGGTTCGCACCACTTCGGGAGAACCGGTTGTTAACTTTCTGAGCAGTTTGGCGAACTGGTTGTTGGGAGAAGTCATTAGGGCAGAGAACCGGTTGTTAAATTATTTGAATCCCACCATTGCGCTGGATCCTTCCTCATCCAATGACCAGCCCCCTCTCAGTCGACTCTTCCCCCCCCCCCAGGAGTTCTGATCATTTTGGTGCCAAGAGAGGGAGCCTGACCACATATTTAAATGGCACCATTGATGCTCCAGAATGGAGTGGTTCCAACACCAGTGCCCGAAGGTAAACAATAACACCCCTCTAACAAACAAAACACACACACACAAACAAATACACACATATCAATAATTAGCAAGTGCATCTAACTGCCAGAGCCCAATGCTGGGGAAGCACCTGGACTTCCAGACCTTGCAAAAGCTAAGTTCCTTGAATAATCTCCTTTTTTTATTGCCCCCGGCCCCACTGACAAGAGTTGTTTCATGAGGGGCAAATCCAGTGGTGGGATTCAGCCAGTTCGCACTTATTCGGGAGGACCGGTTGTTATCTTTCTAAGTAGTTCGGAGAACCAGTTGTGGGAAGAAATCTTATTTTGTTTTTTTCCACTTTACAGGGCTAATCCTGTAAGGAAGGCAGGAAGGAAACATTCTGCTGGTGTTTCTAGCCTAACCTTTATTGCCTTGCTTACAGAAACTGCCTCTCTGGTTAACCCTTATTACATTGTAACAGCTAAGGCGAAGCGCCCATTGACCTGAGTGATGTTGAGTTGGCCACGCCCACACAACCCTGAGCCACGCCTACCCAGCTGGTCATTAGGGCAGAGAACCGGTTGTTAAATTATTTGAATCCCACCATTGGGCAAATCCCATCAGTTGGAGGGCTGCACCAGGCTGAAGGTTGACCTGAGAAGTGGACCTGCTTGCTTGGTGATTCTGTGTGCGTTGGTGTGTGTGTGTGTTGCACCTGGCCAGCTAATAGGTACAGATGGGCAGGGAGTTTTTGTTCAATTCATTGTGATTAATGTGACTAAATGGCACCTGCATTTCTCTTTCATCCTCTGCCTCTTCCTGATTGACAGCAATAACCAGGTAAGGAAAGAGGGCTCCACATTAGAATTGGCAGCCTGTCATTATGGATAATTCGTTCTCCAAAATAAATTTAGCTCTGACAAAAACTCGCTGTTGTTAAGAATGGGCGATTCTTCTGACTGCCCCAAAACATAATTTTATGCAATTTTACCAAACTTCCAACTTCCATGAAAAGTTAATTAATTGGAAACCTTATGATATTCTCGTGTTTCATTGTAGAAGAAAAATGTGGCGATCTTGTTGTACATTTTTATCAGAGAGTCTTTAGACCAGAATTTCTCAACCTTGGGAACTTGAAGATGGGTGAACTTGAATTCCCAGAATTCCCCATTGCTGGCTGGGGAATTCTGGACATTGAAGTCCACCCGTCTTCAAGTTGCCAAAGTTGAGAAACTCTGCTTTAGACAAACTCATCCCCCAAATCCTATTTATAGATTCTTACCTGTTGAATGAGTATCTGAGTATCTGAAACTGCTGAACCAATATCAATCAGCCCCACTCCTCCCTCCCGCTGCCCATCTGGGAGAACAGATTTCCACTGGTGGCACCCAAGGAGCCCCCACCCCTCAGACCCCAAGAACCAGGAAAGAAACCTGAAAGCTCCAAGAGCCCTTTCAGCTCTGCTTCCTTCCAGTCTCCTCAATTCCCAGTATTTGCATCAGAGCGGGAGCTCTGGGCTGAGCAAACGGGTGGGCCTGGTTGCGCATGGAATGGTGGGAATTGCTATTCACCCTTGTCCTGGAAAACGTTCCCTGGGCAGAAGAGTTGAGGAGGGAACGAGGGCTTGAAGGCAAGACCAGAGACTGATTCTATCGTAACTTGGACTCTCATTTTGAAACCTGGCTTTCGTTTTCCGTGATTTTCAGCGATGACATTATGGTTGAGGAATTCGCCCGCCAGAAACTCGGAGGAGAAGGGGAAAGTGAGGACGAGGAGGAAGGAGGAAAAAGCTAATGCTCAACTGTCTTCAGTAGGGGCTACTCCAGTGTTTCAAAGCCGAAATTATTTAGGGCATTTTCATGAGTTCCGTGCATTTTACCTTAATATTTCAGTATTGTGTTTGTAATGTGATAATTTCTCGTAAGCCTATTGTAAGGATCGCCTCTCCTTCCAACTTAAGAAAGTAAGAACTCTTGAAATGTGGTTGTTCAAAAGGATTCTTTTATTAAGCAGAAGTGAAAGCCATCCAGTTAAAGCACGATCTGGATACCCTTAGGCAAGACAAATAGGATTAAGGCAGTAGAGACCCCTCCCTTTAAGCCAGAATGCAGATTTTAACCAATACACAAGTGTGAAGATGTTTTCTTTCCTAGCTTCCCTGAGAACCCGAACAACCGTGCATTCACACTGTTATCCTTTAAAGTGAAACAACCCACATGGCTATCATGAACATTCCTCCAGGTAAAGAGGATCTCAGGGCTCTTTGGCACCAGGATATAGGTTGTAAAATATCTGTTGACACAGGCACTGCTATTAAATCGAATCCAAGTCTCCCCCATCCTTCAGTTTGAATGGCAGTATCACTTTTAGGGATCTGACACCTATTTTTTCCGCTGTGTTTAATGCGTTTTGCAGAAGACTCGCTGTACTCCGATGTTTTCCCCATAAGCCTGAAAGCATGAAGGAGAAAGCCAGCCACGCACCAAGGTGGCTCCTCCACTCCTTCATTTTGCCTGCTTCCTTTCCCCAAGCCCGGCCTTCCAGCCGCTGGACCCTTCCTGATCCAATAAACAGTCCCCCCTCTCAATTGACTCCCCCCCCCAGGAGATTCTGATCATTTTAGTGCAGTTGGAGCTGACCTGACAACCCTTTCCTAAGAATTATTGGTATTATTGGAAAAAGCTGATTATCCAGATATCCTGTGATTGTGTGAATAAATGTTACTCTATCAAAAGGCTTGGCTGGACATGTGTTTATGTTTAAACTCGGTTACTGATGACTGACTCATTACCTCTGCTGGAAGTTGGCTGTGAGCTTCCACTATCCTTTCCTGTGAAGTAATCTTTTCTCAGGTTGCTTTTGAAATTCCCTCCTATCAGTTTGAGGTTATGCCCCTGTGTTCTTAATTTTTGCATAATACTGAAAAGACTGCCTTCTAGAACCTTATTCTCACCCTTAATATAGTTAACCCTATATAGTTAACCCTAATATAGTTAGCCCTACTAAGCAGGTATATACAAAAGTATGAAGGCTATTGCTTAACGCATTGTAAGCCGCCCTGAGTCTCCGGAGAAGGGCAGCATATAAATCGAATGAATGAATGAATGAATGAATGAATAAAAAATAAATAAATCAAGTAAATAAATAAATAAAATAAATAAATAAATAAAGGTTTCAATCATGTCCTTCTCCCCTTTCTGTCCTCCAGGCTGCAGATATTCAGTCCTTCCAATCTCTCCTGATAATGTTTTGTCTCTCAGACTTTGCACAGTTTTGTGCTCGTCTCTGGACTCAGTCTTACTAATACCTTTTTAATTTTTTTAAAAAAAGATCCTTCTCACACTTACTGCTGTTGAACTAGGTACCGCCCATTCTGTGCCTGTGCATTTGATTTTTCTTGCATGTGTAAAACCTTTTCTCACTGCTAAATTCTATTTTTTTTTGGATGGGGCCCACTCTTCAAGTCTGTCAAGGTCCTTCTGGAACTTGAACCCATCCTCTAAAGTGTTGGCTATTCCTGCCAGTTTGGCGTGGTCTGCGGATTTGATGAGTTCCCCTCATTTATTTCTTCATCTAAATCAGTGTTTCTCAACCTTGGAAGCTTGAAGATAGGTGGACCTCAACTCCCAGAATCCCCCAGCCAGCGCAGCTGGCTGGGGGATTCTGGGAGTTGAGGTCCACCCATCTTCAAGCTTCCAAGGTTGAGAAACACTGATCTAAATCATGGGGAAAAAAAGAATCCTTGAGATAGATTGATGGAGACATGTCACTCATGGGAAAAAAAAATTCCAACCCAGGCCAGGCCAGGCCAGCTGTCCCAGTGGACCTAAGCAACCAATTTCAAATTGTGAGTGCTCTGGAGGTTTGTAAGAAGCGATTGGACAGTCATTTCTCTGGAATGGTATAGGCAGTGTTGGCGAATGGGAGTGTGTGTGCGCGGGGGAGCGCCGGAAACTGGAAGAGCAGCGGAAGCTGAGCTGCTGATTTTTGGCGCGTGCATGCCCGGCGGCCACCTGGTCTTCCGGTTTCTGGCACGCTTGTGCGCACGAAGACCAGCTAGCCAGCACGCATGCGCGCACCAGAAACCAGAAGCTCAGCTTCCTAGCGCATGCACGCATGCTGGGGAGCTGCTCTTCCAGTTTCCAGTTCTCCCGTATGTGCGAAGACCATTTAGCCAGCACGCATGTGCACGCTGGAACCTTGAAGAGCAACAGGCGATGGCTGGCGCGCCTGGAGAGATGACTGCATGCCACTTCCGGCACGTGTTCGCCATCACGGGTGTACGGTCTCCTGTTTGAGCTGGGGGCTGGACTAGAAGACCTCCAAGGCTCTGCTCTGCTCTACTCTTCTATTGCAGTCTAGCTAAACAGAGGCAACATTTCTTAAAAGCGGCAGCTGGCTCAGATTGCTAGATAAGTGTTGGAATCAGAGATTGAAACCTGATAAAATTTGGAGGTACGCTGATTGTTTACCCTGACACCCCAAAGAAATCTCAGCCGGATACAACCGCAAGGAAGTTATAAAACCATCATGTTTTTGAGCATGTTGAGCCTGGATAGCTCAACAGACAGAGCTCTGTAATTTAACACCAGCTGCCTGCAATTAAAGTAAGATCGAATCTCGCCAGGCTCAAGGTTGACTCAGCCTTCCATCCTTTCTAAGGTAGGTAAATTGAGGACCCAGATTGTGGGGGCAATAAGCTGACTTTGTATAAATATACAAAAGTATGAAGGCTATTGCTTAACGCCTTGTAAGCCGCCGTGAGTCTCCGGAGAAGGGCGGCATATAAATCAAGTTAAAAAAAAAAACCCAGCATCGGCTGCAATGCCAGCATTCAGAGCTCCTTTCAATGAATTAAGAGGATTTGCTTTCTTTCACCAATAAATCCGGAGGGTTCGTGAGTCTTTGACCCTGATGGCTCCATTATTTTCTCAATGGAGACAATTCCAAGTATGACAGAGGGTGGGCCTGAGGGGTGTTGATTTTTGAGAAGGGAAACAGGCAGTCCTCATTTAGCAACGGCTTCGTTTAGCAACCATCTGCAGCTACAGTGGTGATGGAAAAGCAATTTTGCAATCAAACCTCACATTTATGACGACCTTGTAAAGCAATCAATCATTTTTATCTTGGCCGCAGACCAACATTTAACTAATAACATATCAATTGCACTAAAATAGAAATAATTTAAAAAATAACAACCTGATAAACTAAAATAGCAATAGCACTTAGACTTATATACCGCTTCACAGTGCTTTACAGCCCTCTCTAAGCGATTTACAGAGTCAGCATATTTCCCCCAACAATCTGGGTCCTCATTTTACTGACCTCGGAAGGATGGAAGGCTCAGTCAATGTTGAGCTGCAATGGTAAGACTCGAACTGCCAAATTGCAGACAGCCAGCAGTCAGCAGAAGTAGTCTGCAGGATTGCACTCTAACCACTGCACCACCATGGTAAAATAAGGTAAAATTACAAAGAACTGGTATTAAAATGCCATAGAATCCCAAAACAGGAAAAAAAAAGAAGCAGTAAAGGAAAACTGAAGTTATAAGCCCTGTCCCAGTTCCACTCAGTGACTCTTGGCTTAATGACTAGTTGTTGCTCCCAATCCTGGTTGCTAAACAAGGACTACCTGTTGCTAACCAGACTGCTGTTTCATCCACTGTTTACCAATTACATTTTTTATTACTGATCATCTCCAGCCTCAACTTTTATTGTCCAAACTATAGAAGAGGGTTGAGGAATATTTTCCCCACCCAGCTGGGCAGCAGGCAGATGCTGCCCTCTGGTGGCACACGAGGCTAATGCACAGCTTGGAGCAACAATGAAAGGTCCATTGTGTGATGTGGCTGCCCTTCAACATTTAACCCCCATTCTCTAAAAGCAGCAAAGGCTTTTAATGTTATCTTTATTGTTATTTTAAATGTCAACTAAATTTGAGTCTCTGGTTTTAAAGAGCATGTCAGGACTGCCACCTCACGCCTGCGCTCTGCTATCGTTCAGAGCCAGCCTGCCATGCATCCTGGGGGGGGGGGGGGGTGGAATGGGGGTTGCAAATGCTTGGGGGAAAGTGAAACGGGTGGAAATAAGTCTGCTTCTCAGATCCTCAAGGTCGTTTCCCAGGGAGAAGAATGCAGCTGAAAGGCAGCCTACACTCAGAGTGAGGGTATCAAAAACATCAGAAACAGATTGAACGTTGGGGGCTCAATGGGTAATGCCTGGGAGGAGAACATTTCTACCTAAGGACCTGGCAGAGGAATCTCAGTTCTGACTTTGCTCTACTGTATTTCACTTGGCCTTTAGTAAACTATTCCTTTCTCAACAAATGGAGTCGAGGATCGTTCTTGCTTAAAGGATCAAGTTGAGGTAGGAGTGACACAGCTCCTCTGAAAGAGATCACCAGGATCAGCTCGCTTCATAGGGCACTTAGTACCACAAACCGGTGTTTCTCAACCATGGCAACTTTAAGATGTGTGAACTTCAACTCCCAGAATTCCCCAGCCAGCCAAGTTTTTGAAGCCCACACATCTCAAAGTTGACAAGGTTGGGAAAAGCTGCAATAGACCACTGTCAGCGTCTGCAGAATTGTCATCAAATGTTATCACGTTCTCAGCTGGTGCTTGATCATCTTCCTTATTATTGGAATTTTAGACATTTTCAAAAATAATGTTCTGGAAAAGGAGAGGCCAACAAGACCTCCTAAGCAGGTTTCATTCTATCGCCTCAAACGTCTTCAGGGACTTCCAAACGTTAACTTCCAGAGCTCAAGAGGATATCTGGGTTCAGTTCTCCGCAAACTCCTGAAGAGAATGAAGTACAACTCCAGTTTCGACTGAAGATGCACCAGTGCTGAGGAAAACTAAAAAATTGCCTGAAGGCCTGACATACCAGCCATCTTAACCACTAAAAGGAAAGTGGGCAGCTCAGAAAGCCATTGGTAGAAACTCACCCAAATTTCTATAGAAAAGGATTTTGCTTGCTTTCCTAAGAAACTGTTCTCTCTCTTCTGACTTTCAACAAGATGGCGACCAGGAGCAGATGCTGGGCCCTGTGTCGCTCCTGAGGGCTTTGGGATTGCCCAACCCCAAGGAGCTTGCCTGTTGGCCACTGATGGGAGGCTGGAGGATCTTCCCTCACCCGCTTAAACTCTGGTGGGAGGCTGAAGACTCATCCTCCACTTGTCTCAAAGGCACTTTCCCCCCCCTTCAAAAGACAGCTGGAAAAATCCTTGAGGAAGAAGGGGAAAAAAAAAACATATTTAACCTCATTCAAGAAGCTTCATCAGTTCTGATGGTGGAGGGATGGAAGGATAGGTACTGGTACGTATACATACCTATGGATAGATACAGGACAGATACCTTTCTTCCATTACGCTGTCATTAGAACTGATGAAGCTTCTTGGATGAGAAGTGAAACATTGTCTTCTTCCTCAAGGAAAAAAAAGTCTGGTTGCTTCTGAAAAAAAAAAAGCACCTTTGAGACAACTAGGACATGGATGACTGAGAATCTCCACAGACAAATCCCCCCACTTGGGCTCTAGTGAGAGGCTGGGAATCTTCCATTCACCTCTCCCCATTGCTTGGCTCTGGTGGACACTGAGGGACATTCCACCCTCTGCCCATGTTTGAAGCTGCCCCACATCTGTTACTTTCTCTCCCCAAGGAGCCCCCTAAGTTTCCCAAGGGAGCAGGATGGAAGAATGGCGACAGGCCGTGGTGGCTCTCTGGAATTTCAT